TTGAGATCTTAATGAATGGTTCTTTACCATCAGAATCTCTGACCGGCCTAACTTGTGCCCTATGAGCACCCCGACCCCTCCTGCGAGAGGTCTCATCTCTGACATGTCCCACCTGGGATCTTTGTCGTTGCCTTTCCCTTTCCTGTTGGTACCATCGGTACATCTCACTAACCTGGTCAAGAGGAATACTTTGTATATCCTCCCCACTATTTTCATCAAAAGAAGTTTCATCTGACTCACTTTCAGGGTGATAAGTTGAGTCATCATCCGAGTTCCACGACTCGAATCCAGTCATCATGCGATCATCCATCGCAGTTCGTGTTCATTGGCCTTGGTGGCCCCTACCTTGCCTTTTAGGGGACCTTGATATTCCCCGATTGGCTTGCCCGGCTATCCCCGGTGCGCGCCCTCTCGGATTTCCTCGAACTGCCCTATCGCTACCACCCATTCCTGAAAGAATATATTGAAATGAGTTTGTGGACTCGTTTGAATGTCAATTGACAGAAACGTACTCAAGACACAACTTGGCTCAAGTCACTGCCATACCAATTGCTAAGGGGCCCATCTTAACAACCAGAGACCTTGCAACTCGATAACCAAATGCTCTTAAAGTACAAAATTTATGCTCATGGATTTTCATTGAAAGATTGTTTTGATAGAAACTTTGTTGAGAGGTTGACTATATAGTTTAGTAACAACCTGGCTCTGATACCACTTAATTGTCACGCCCCAGACCGTGTCTGTGCCACATAGACAACCGTCGTACAACCCAATAAGAATAACCGCAGTTCATCCTTACTAAATTGCACAAGACGTCCGATAGATACATATGCCAAAACCGATTAGTAAACATACATAACAACATCAACATACAATTAAACACATAGCGGAATATAAGTGTTTAATAAGAACCCACATGAGGGTAAAACAAGAGCTCGCAGGCTCCATTAATTTATAAGTCAAAAGTAGTTCCATGAGCATTATTTAATTATTTAGAAATAGAACCAGAGGAAGCACGAACCACGTCTTCTCTCCATCGATCTCCCGAACAACGCGTGTAGGAAGTAAACTCTAGCTTCAACCTGAAAGGGTGGTTCCCTCGAGGGATCAGTACTACAACAAAGTACTGGTGAGGGCAAACTGTATGTAATATAACTAACGTTTCTCACATGGGACCCTCAACATAGGGTGATAGTATATGTATAGGCATAACTCTTGGCTACCCTTTTTCAAAACATATCGTATACATATATACATATGAGTAAAATATCCGGCTCGTGGGCCCATTTGTCTTTCAATCATTTAGGAGTAACAGCCTCATTAAATTCACCCTTCCCATGTTCTACCCTCGAGTGAAGTCACCCGCAGGCTAACTCACTCGATAACAAAGATAATTATTGTGGGGGCCCTTCAGGCTCCCATATCACAAACATGGTTAAAATTAAATTCCTAGACTAAGGAAAATACCCTATCGGGAACTCATTCCCGATCACGCATGTTTAATCATCTAAAATCATTACTTGAGGTTCACCTACCTCGGGGACTATTTGTCCTTACAATCATAGTTTACATTCCCGGGGCTAACCCCGCCTTGAGGAGTACGCATACACCCTCATCCTATGTGTAATTTGCTGGAGGTTAACACACCTCAAGGACTACACGGGCCCTTGTTACCTATATGCAATTTGATGGAGGTTAACACACCTCAAGGACTGCACTTGCCCTTGTTACCTATGTGTAATTTGCTGGAGGTTAACACACCTCAAGGACTACACGGGCCCTTGTTACCTATATGCAATTTGATGGAGGTTAACACACCTCAAGGACTGCATTTGCCCTTGTTACCTATGTGTAATTTGCTGGAGGTTAACACACCTCAAGGACTACACGGGCCCTTGTTACGTATATGCACTTTGATGGAGGTTAACACACCTCAAGGACTGCATTTGCCCTTGTTACCTATGTGTAATTTGCTGGACGTTAACACACCTCAAGGACTACACGGGCCCTTGTTAACATTTGAGTATAAAGGACTCATCCTGGTCCTACAGAGTTTTACCTGACCTTACTCGGTCCCGAGTATTCACCCGTCATGTATAATCTACCAATTACCTCACCCGATCGTGGTCTATAATTTCTTTACTAACGACTAGTCCAAGTCTTAACGTTTAAACCATATTCGAAGCTTTAGCAACCAACGTGGACGGGTCCCACTCGAACGGCCCACGTAAACTTACTCAAAAACTGCATATTGGGTGTAAAACCCAATACCCGGTCGGGTTTTACCCATACCCGGTCGGGTAGGGTGAGCCAGTAGCCCCTGGGACTGTTTTTAACTAATACCCGGTCGGGTCTATACCCATACCCGGTCGGGTCTAGTGTGACAGTGGCTCCTGGAACCATTTTTAACCAATACCCGGTCGGGTATTTACCAATACCCGGTCGGGTATTACTTTTGTCTTGGCGGTCAACGCTCGTTTGACCGCCCAAACGAAGTCCGATAAACGTGAAATTTTATACACATGTACTTCTTGACGTCCTTAATCCAAAAAATTCACTTTTGGGTCCTTGGAACATCATACATAATTAATTATCACATTTTTAATCATCAAGCTTACTCAACATGCTTTTCAACTATATTTTTCATATAATCATGGAATAACACATACTTGATTATCTTTAATCATTCCATAAAATATATTCTTGATTACTTTACGTAATCTCATGTCTCACTCAAAAGTTATAAAGCATAAAGCCATCTTCACACAACTATTAATAAGTACTTCATACTGATTTATCGTTTATATATTTCGTTCTAGTTTATATTTCATAACTAGATTTAATTTAATGACATGTATGATTAAGTACTTGAATCCTTCAAGAATACCATCTTGAATTACCTTAGTTAATGTCCAACTAAATCATTCATGATTATCCTTCATCAAAAATATTAATAATTCTTTTACTCATTAATCATGCCATTTTCACATAACTTATAATCATTATAGCTAATCACATGTTTAAACACCTTTAAACATTTCTATACATATTCACATACTAGATTACTCTAGTTATCTCCTACATAGTCCATGTATGAATTTTCATACATTTGACAATAATCTCTTATTCATTAATCATGTAATATTTCCATAATTCATATTCACCATGACTAATCATGCATTTTAATCCATTTAATCATTTCTCAAATCATGATAAGGATTTTATTTAGGTAATCCCACGTTTGACCCAAGAGTTACAAGACACGTAGTCGTCCACTCACCTCGAAATGACGCTAGCAAGCTTTATCCTCTTTGTTTGGATTCCGACGACTTTTGATATTTTCCGGCGAAAACTCCGGCGGCTCCGGCGACTTTTCCGGCCACTCCTAGATTCTTTGAGAAGTCTAGAATACCTTGGTAAAATTCCTAACAAGGTTTTACAAACCAAAAGCGGTATAAATATCATAACCTCCCGAGAAGTTGTTTTCCGGCGAAGCGGTCTTACTCCGTTCATAAGTCCGTTCATGGTTAAAACTATCCTTCCAACCCCTCATTCTACACCTCTAGGAGTGTAGAACAAGCTTATGTGTCTATCATATGATTTATAAAATCATATGAGATAAAAATGAAGGATGAATACTACTAATGAATTCGTTACCTTGATTTCATAACGTTTTCCTCATTTCCACCATCCTTTCTTCTTACTTGGACCTCCCTTTGTTTGAGCTCAAAGTGTAGCTATGGAATATGATTTGCAGTCTTGCTTGTTTTGGATGGGTTGGCCGAACTCATTGATAGGAAAAAGAGGGATGGGATTTTTTTGTCTCAAATGAGTAATAAGGGTAGGATGGGAGGTCCACCCCTTGTCATCCATATACCAACCATCACCCTCATGAATTCTACACCACATTTCCCTTATGTGCAGCCCCTCATTTGTCAACTTGAGCCTCCTAAAACGTGGGGTGGCTCCCACTCATGTGGGAGGTCATCCCTTTATGTCCCCGAATGTACATTCGGCCCCGAAAGTTGTTTTTCTCGGACTGTTTTAATTATATTTTATTTTATGGGGTCAAATACAATATAATTCATTCTTCCAATTAATATTGGACTCTAAAATGAATAAATATTATCCCACTTTAATTTAGTGGTCCCTGGAATTTATTTCGGTCTATTATCTGTTAAATTCACAATACCGGTAATGGGACCTCATTTGGTCAACCGGCCAATTCTATGGCTCAACATGAATTTACACCATCACATATATATTATCTAGACCAAGATGAATATAATATGTGGTCCCATAAATATCGGATTGTCCCCGCTCCTAGTGTAGGCTCAACGTGCAATTTACTGTTCAAGTAACAGTAAAAATGAGAACGCGTCATCTCGTAAATTCATTAGTCATTTCTCATGACTCAATATGTGTTTTGATATTTTGTGACACTTTAATAAAATGTTACACTTCTTTGTAAGTGGTCCAAAATGTATGAGCAGATAAAATCTTATATGTTTGTCCTCATACAAAAATATCTTCAAGGTAGGGTCCTCCAAAAGTACCCTCCTTTAATGTACCAATTTAATCATATATTTATCAACCCATTATTTTGGATTCTTAAAATATTTATATTTCTTCTGTCATTAATTCATAGCCTTCCGAATTATTAATAGTCTGAGAATTAAGAGCTCACAATTATCGATTACTGGCCCTGACCCACGTGGTCGTCTAGTTGTCATTCTATATATCACTGGGGTCCACGACCCATTCCTACTATCAAAAAAGTATTTTTTAGATCAACATAAATTTTTTTTACGCTAAGAATACCACGGGTGGTCTCCGCTCCCGATGTGGGTCTCGCGTCTGATCAATAATCTTTTATTAATTTAAGACAAGAATTTTATCTTTCTCATTTATCAAGGTTACTGTAGTCTTGATTTACGTTCTTTAACCATGTACTTAATGAAAAAAAAATCTCTGGGTAAAATTCGGATCTGGTGTTACAGATAGTGCCAAACAATTTTACGAGTTATTGGATTCTGCTCAACAACCTTTGTGGTCTGGATGTACAACAGATACTGAATTATCTTTTACCCTTAAGATGATGAGTATTAAGTCATCCTATAACATTGCACAACAAGCAATGGATGAGATATTCGATGCTTCCAAATAAGGTGCCATCAAGTTTCTATGAAGCTGAAAAGTTGGTCTCTAAACTCGGTCTTGGTCATGAAAAAATTGATTGTTGTGTGAATGGATGCATGTTGTATTATAAGGAGGATATTGCATTGACAGAATGCAAATTTTGTTTTGAGCCACGCTTCAAAAAAAGTAACAAGCCAAATTCAAAAGTTCCTCGAAAAAGGATGCACTACTTACCACTTATTCCGAGGTTGCAACGGTTATACGCATCACCGAGTTTTGCGAAACATATGAGGTGGCATTTTGAAAATCAACGTGAGCCCGATGTTATGTGTCACCCATCAGATGGTGAGGCATGGAAGCACTTTGATCAAATGCACCCCCAATTTGCTTTCGAACCACGCAATGTTAGACTTGGACTTTGTTCAGATGGCTTCTCTCCATTTGGTATGTCTGCTAAATCATATTCATGTTGGCCCATTATTGTTACAGTGTACAACCTGCCACCCTCTATGTGTATGACGACTCCTTATATGTTTTTGAATTCTATTATTCCTGGTAAGTATAACCCAAAGGCTAAAATAGATGTGTACTTACAACCATTGATTGATGAGTTGAAGTGTTTGTGGGAAACTAGTGTTGTCACTTATGATGTATCCTTAAAGCACAACTTCGTATTGAAAGCAGCTTTAATGTGGACAATAAGTGATTTCCCTGCATATGGGATGCTATCAGGTTGGCAGACTGCTGGGAAATTGTCATGCCCATATTGTATGGAATCCTCAAAATCTTTTTGGCTAAAGAACGGAGGCAAGTGTTCATGGTTTGATTGTCATCGTCAATTCCTGCCTATGGGTCATCCATTTAGAAGAAACAGAGATGCCTTTATAAAAGGAAGGATTGAAAAGTCATACCCTCCATATATTTTGAGTGGTGAGGAAGTTTTAGAACGTGTGTCATATATTCCACAAATAACAGAACAACAAGGTTTAAAGATACCTGGTTACGGTTCAACACATAACTGGACCAAGCGAAGTATCTTTTGGGAGCTACCATATTGGAAAAATAATATGATTCGACATAATCTCGATGTTATGCACATCGAAAAAATGTTTTTGATAATGTGTTCCACACAGTTATGAATAGCAAGGGAACAAAAAATAATAAAGATGGTGTGAAAGCGCGAATGGATTTAAAAGAGCACTGCTCGCGCCATGAACTGGAATTCTGATGTGGGCATGGCGTTGCACACGGGGGGATCTATCCCCATCACAGAGCACCGCCGACGATATGTAAGCATGCATATTTATACGGTCTTTTTTTACTATTTAAAACTGTTAGTAACCCTTATTATAGATATATTGTTAATATTTGTAGGAGGAAAAGTATCAAGAAACAGCACCCCCAGAAAAAATATTTCTGCTAACACATACAAAAGGAGACAGAACATTTGTGACACCAAAAGCTAAATCAATCTATGTGAGTAAAATTTATTGAGTTAATTTAATCTTTAATGTATTAACCCTCTTTCTGCAAATTAAAATTGTAAAAAATGAATTACATTTCTGTCAAAGTGTCCTCAAATTATACTTTTTGCAGGACTCATATGAAGAACTAAAGTCAAAAGAGTCAAATGCCAAGTCTCAAGATCTAATGTTGAAGGCTGCCGGAGGGCGAAAAAAAGGAGGAAAAGTTACTGGTTTTGCCGCAGCAAGTATTTATTTCTTTCCTTCAGTCTCTACATATGAGAACATTCCACAACAATCATACGAGGACAAATTACTTCAAAAACGTGTGGAGCAAGTAGAGAAGTCCAATAATGCTCTTCTAGACACTAACAAAGAACTTGTGCAGTTTAAAGAATCTGCATCAGCTACTATAGCAGAAATGCAAGCCATCATTACAACTATGAAAATGGCACAACCATTGCAACACGATGCATTTATGAATGTGATCCCTAATATGCAACAAGGTACATTCATGAGCTCTGTTCCACACAATCAACAAAGTGCTTATATAAATATTTCTCCACAACAGCCCCACGTGGGATCTTTTATGAGCATGTTGATGCCCCAACCTTCTCAAGTCTTCAACAATGGCTACAATCATTCAAACCGGGGTGAAAAGGGATGTGAGGATGTTGAAGATGATCTCAATCAGTGACTTTGTAATCCTTTTAATTTAAGCAATTTTAATTTCGAATTTTATCAAGTACTCTGTCTTTTAATGGATTTATGATGTAGAATGATGAATGTCATGAATAACTTATTACCTGATTTGAATGAAATGTTTGATGTTTATTTTTATTGTTTGGTATTTAAATGAGAATTGGGTTTGTATTCAAAAAAAATTTTTGGTATACCTATCATTTACCATGTATTATATTCTTTATATGTATATATACATGAATTTTCAAATTCAATAGAAAGGAATATAGTTCCTCTCTAGTCTACAGATATACGTATCTCAAATCAATACAAGTGGATTTTAGTTCCTTTCTATGGAGCATATTTTTCTTTGAAGGCCCACCTGTTTAGCTAGGAATCAAGTTCCTCTCTATATAAATGAGGATGAAAATTAAAAGGAACTGAGTTCCTCTCTAATTTTTTTAATACTTTGCATCACTTTATATGCTAGAGAGGAATGCAGAGAGGAACTGTGATTTACCAAGGGAGATTTTATAGAGGACTACAAAGTCCTATCTAAATTTGTAGCTAACCTATTTAGAAAGGAATATATCATATTTACATAGGAAAATCTTTCCTTCTTATTTGCTCTCATTCTAGTAGTGAGCTGTCCCGTATCATGCTTTTACCAGCCCGTTTGGTATCACGAAAATCGGCCGATTTGGCCGATTCTACTGAAATTTATGAAGTTCTGGCTGAAGTGGCTGCATTGGCTGATTCTGCTGATTTAAAAAAATTCTTTAAAAATATATTTTATTAATAAAATAAAGAAAAAATTATATGTAAAAATAGCAAAAATGGTCATCTATAGTAACTTCAGCCAATACGGCCAGAAAAGTACCTACAACCTTAATTTTTCTGCTTATTACACAATTCAGCGCGCGAAAGTAAAAATTACGTGTTTGGTAAAAAAGTTGGCAGATAAGCCTGATAAGCCGATAAACAGTGTGTTGAGGTTTAGTCCATAGATCCGAAAGCCCAACACAAACTTTGGATATTTCAGGAAATAGATAATAAATCAAGTGTATAAGGAAATATAAAAGTTGACGAATAATAATGCTCAAGAGCCCACTTGTATTAGGCAATTTACTAATTACACAGAGACTTCCCGAACGGTACGTCGGAATAGTGATTAATACAAGAACAAGAGAGATAAAGCTATTCTAGGCTTTGAGTATCAAAATGCTAACCCTTTACAATGAGCTTAATCCATCTATTTATACTAATGGGGGGTATGGGGTGCTCCTTGCTGATTGGTTGCTAATCCAACCACTTGGATGTCCATCCTCCCACTTGCTGATGTCACACTCTAGCATTTAATGCACTTCACCACTTGCCAATGGTCCGTTGCCCGATCGGAGTGGTGAGCCATGCTAAAATGTCGTTGATTTGGCCAAAGTATCTTGGCTGACCCGAACCCCGTTCGGTACATATTTCTCCTTGGGCCCGTTCATCTTCTGGATTCGGGGCTATTTATTAGACTGGATATATTGGGCCTTTGACCTGGGTATTGGGCCTTCGTCCCAATATCCCAACATGAGTCCCCCACTTTCGATGTCTCGAACGGTAGTGAGTGCATTGGGAAGTAGAACTTTATACGTCGAATGGCGATCGGGGTCCAGAATTCGTTGGTTCCCCAGGTCATGATTAGTACCTTATTTGCGGTTGTCATTTGATTTTCCAAAATCGTCATGATTACTGGCCTTTGCTCTCCCATGCGACACGTGTCTATTTAAATAGTCCACGTGACGTGTCTTCCTCTGGTTGGCTATTGATTCGGCGCTTGTCAGACTATAAATAGGCCTTAGTTCCTTTGTTATGGGTTTCGAATTCTCATTTCCTTCGTGCCTTAGCTTTGCCTTCTTTCTAGGACTCCCAAGTTTCTGTGCGTTCAGGTATTTGACGCCCCTTGCTCATTCTTTCTAATTCGTGTTCGGTCAACATGTCTTCTCGAACGTCTTCTTCTGGTTCGGATTCGGGGCCCACTTCTTGAGAGGAAACCCATGACGCCGCTGTACCGGATGCCATAGAAGTCCCTTTTGCTGATGTCGCCAGTAATGCGGCTGCGGGGGCAGTTGATGAAGATCATTCAGGCGGCTCTACTTCCAGCGAAGACTCTGATGGCACGATGTCCGGTGATGAACTAGCTTCAATGGCGGCTGGTCCCCCGAGCGATGTTCCTCGCTATAGGGTGGATTTAAGGCTAATCAGGGAAAGGAGGCAGAAATTGACCTCTCACAATAGGGCCCAAATTCCAGCCCTAATTCCGGACCCAGTGAATTTTCGTCTTCGGGTTGGGCTTCATCCAATGCGCCACCTCCCTGGGATGGTGGTGGTCCATCTAGACTCAGTAAAAGCTGGGCTTAGGTTTCCCCTGCATCCCTTTTTCATATCCTTCCTTAATTTCTATGAAGTAGTACCGGCCCAAATCATGCCGAACTCCTATCAGGTGATGGCCGGCTTCATTTGCCGTTGTAAAGATGCCAAGGTTACACCCACTTTGGAACTGTTCCATCTATTTTTTAAGGTGCCCCCCCCAGCAGACGCATGGTTACTTGGCTGCCACTACTCGAACGGGTCATATTTTATTGAAGGGCAACCTCACTTCAATCGAAGGGTGGAAAGATCGGTTCTTTTTTGTCTCCGTCCCGGACAGCTTGATTCCAAATAAGTGGAATGCTTTTCCCCGTAAATCTCCCGATCCGCTTCTTACTGACCAAATCTGCAAGGATGTTTTCGCAGTAGAAGAGGACAAGACTTGTGATATCATAGGATACCTGACTTCCGATCGGCTCATCAAAGCCGGGATAGGTACTGCCCGTACTCTTGGGTTTACTTGTCTAAGAACCAAGTGTCATGGGCCGGGCGGTCCTTCCCGTGCGAGAAACGTTCCATTCTTTTTTAGTTTCCCACGTGATAAGACCGCTCGGTACTAACCCTTTTTCTTGTCTAATTTATCAGCTCCCAATCCAGATACTACTATGGATGATAGTCGGGTCCTTGCTGCTGGCGGAGTGGGTAAGAGGAAAAAAGCTAAGAAAAATCCCAAACCTTCCACCACTACTCAAGACGCCGGGTCCTCCCAGTCCGTTCATACTGCCGCACCCCTTCAACAGGTTCTTCATCACCCGGAGCCTGAGGATATGATGATGGACAACCCGTTCGGGTCTGAGCAGTCCTATCATTTTGCCGAGCATATCCAGGCCGCTCAAGAAACGGCCATGGAGGCTGGCCAAGAAACGGTCAATCAGGCCGATATCGCCGGGCAGGTTGCACAGATCACTCTGGAGGATCCGGTTCATGACATCCTGGAAAAGGCTGGTTCTACCGCGAGCCAAGTCTGGTCAACCTCTGCCTACTTCAATAATTTTCCACTCCCCGCTTTGTCGGTCGACCGGGCAGAAGAGTGTGTGGCCTTGACAGCTTTGAAGGTACTTTGTTTTTTCCTGTATTTTGTTTCACATGTTATTTTCTTCCATATCTTATCTCATATTTCCGAACGGAATCCTATAGATGGGGTTGTATAGTCTACAGTTGAGGGAGGCTCGTCTGGCCAAAGAGCGGGCTCTGATCATTGCTCAGACTTCTGCTGAGCAGGCTGCTGCTGCCGTTACTGCCAATGTTGAGGCCGAACGGAAAGGTTTTGCTGAGGAAAGGCAATGGCTCGAAACTGAGCTTGGTGAGCTCCAGGTTCAGCTTGCTGCTTTCCAGGCCAAGGTCTTTGCTACTGAGGCTGCTCAGGTCAAGTTCGAGGAGATGCCCTCCCGTATCCCGGACGGTCCTTATGAAGTGAACGTGGACCTGTCTGCCGTTCGGGAAAATATCAAATCTTCTGATGAATTTACTGCTCTTAAAGAGGAATATGCCCAGCAGCAACTCCCGACAACTTTTGGAGCCTATCTTGATCAATATCCTCGGGGTGATGTTCGGCGTAAAGAAGGGGTGAAGCTGCTCGACCGGGATCCTAGGGGTAAACAATTCAATGATTCCCTGGCCCAATCTCTCTACGTCATGGGCTGTCAGGACATTCTAATCCCCTTTGTGGCCAAGCTTCAAGAAATGCTAGGGAGGTCGGTCGAGCTTTCTGATCTCCCCTCGGTTGCCATTGTTGAGGCCCAGTTTGAGAAATATCAGCAGGATTTGCAACGGGCCACCAATCGTGAAGCAGGGAGGGGCCGGAGATGAGGACGAAGGTGAAGAAAACAAAGAGGCCCCTGACGAGTAGACTTAACCAAGCTTTCCGTTGATAACTGTAATTTCCCCTTTCCCAATGGTCCTTGTATTTCCCGGCCGGTAGAGCCGATGAATATATGTGGAATCATGTTTGCCCAATGCTTTATTTTACTTTTTCTTTTGTCTTTTTCAATTTTTTGCTTTACCATCCAGAATTCGGTCCGTTTTTATAGGACTTAGTCGTTTTCATGTTTTTTCTCATTCTTCGGATTGCCGTCCGCGATTCGGCAAGTTTTATAGGACTTAGCCGTTTCTCATGCTTTTTTCTTATTCTTCGGCTTGTCGTCCGAGATTCAGCAAGTTTTATAGGACTTAGCCGTTTCTCATGCTTTTTACTCAATCTGTCCGGTTTTCTCCTGACCCGGAATCTAAACTATTGGTTGGACTCCCTGTTCAGGTTATTTCCTGTCAGCTAAAAATAGGGACATCATCAACCCATTAGTCTGGATTTTTCACTTTCCTGTTCGGGTTTGCGAACACATAAAAAGACAAATTATCTCTATGACTGAATGTTGCCCGGATCCTGCATCTTCATAGATTTGACACCACTTTCGAACCGTTCAGAACCCTTCAAATTCAGCTAAGATGATGGATCTTTGCAAACTATTAACACGTTCACCATTCGATCACCCGATTTCAAATTTAACCTTGACTTCCTAATCCTTTTGTTTTGGCGTAATTAAGTAGTCTTGTAATTATTTGACATGCACACCGTTCGGGGTACATGCTAGTGTAATCATAAATACGTCATGATTGCTTGCAACCATATTCTGCAACGTGTTCGTCATGGTTAGAGTTTTGGGCGACATCTTTACTTATAAATAGAGGTGCTTCCTTTTTGTTTTTTCTATTGTTTCTTCAATTTCTTGCTTCTCTTTAAGCTTTCTCTCTCTAGAATCTTCAGGCTCCCTGTTTTTTATGTCATTCTCCTCCGGTTTTT